CTTCCTACCCCTCCCTGAAGGCTCTTTCCTGGCACTCCACTCACTCTGGTCCCCCTTTTTCTTCCCAGTCAGATCCTGGTGACAGGTCACTATGGGGTTTGGCTGGTCACGGAATGGATACTGTCAGAGAACAGCCTGTGGTTGCTTTTTGTAAAGAGCCCTTCATTCCTAACATCAACTTGTCATGGTGCAGAACAGTAATGATGTCTTTGTGCTGCTGGGAAGCAAAAGCCAAAGACAGCAACTTCTTTCCTCCAAGGGGCATGGCAGGGTGGGTTTGCTCCCCCCTTGCTTTTGAATACTGCTTGGAATTTTCTTAGCTGGCCCGGGAAAGGAAACCTCTCATTTTGGCTTTCCCTTCCCCAAGCTTCAAGGAAGGAGGGGTAAGCTACTCCACTTACCCAGAGCCCTGGCATGGAGTATATGCTTAGGTTGGAGGCCATTGAGGGGTGCACAATAGAGCTGAGGTGGACAGGGGTGGTATCAAGCCTTGTCCTTCTCCAAGCCACCTGCTCATGTTTCCCTCTTTGCAGTGTCCCATCCTCGCCAGCTCCTGAGTGCTCCTGAGTAAGCCCAGAATTTGTTCCCCATGCCCCTAGGGACCTTTCTATCAGTCTCTCCCTTCTGTGTCTCCCTGGCACACACTCGTTATTGTCCATCACTTCTGTTGCTGCATCCTGTCATCCTACTTATCTGCTTTGATGTTCCTGCCCTTTGTTCCCTCCAGGGCTTCCCAAATCAGGTTCTGTAGACAGTAAGCCACCACCCTAGTCTTCCTGATATATTCACTAGTGGCCTCCAGTGTCCTTGGCTCCCACTCTTTGTTGAGAATTGAAATAGCAGAGATGGAGGTAGGCTCAACCACCACATTCATCCTCTTCCCATTTGGTCATGTCTGAGGCCAATGGTTGTCAACACTGCCACATAGTCTTAAGATACGAAGGCCACAATTCATCAGAAACAACAGAGCCAAGGTATTGGCTTTTGCCAAAGCTCCCTGGTGATTGGAGTGAGTCGCCAGGTGTGAGAGCGGTGGGCCCAAATCACGGGTGACGAGGAGGCGTAGAGGGCATGGAGGTTCTGAACCATCCACTGGGTGACCTCTACCTAGTCAACACCTGCTGTGCGTTAGGTAGGAAGTGTGTGACAAAAGGCTCATGCATTGAAGGCTTGGTCCCCAGCTGGTGGATCCGTTCATTGAGAGGTGATTGGCTCCCGGGGGCTCTGGCCCAATCAATGGATTCATAAGTTCATGGCATTATTAGGAAGTGGTGGAAAGTTTAGGAGGTGAGTCCTAGTTGGAGGAACTAGGTCACAGAAGGCATGTTCTTGAGGGTCATGTCTCTTTTTTTCTTTTCTCTTTTTTTATTACTGTTTTTATTGCATTCATTACATTACAAGGGGTTTTCACTATGGCCATTCACAGATGCATATGGTGTACATTCCCTCTATCATATTCCCTTAGTCCCCCCTCCCCTCCCCCTTTTCCAACAGCGTTTGGTGGGTTTCATTATACAGAGAAAATATAAAACATGCTTCCATCTCTTGGAGGTTATTTGTTCTGGCCACCTTCCTCTACTTTCTGCTTCCTGGCTATCATGATGTGAGCAGTTTCACTCCACCACCTGCTCCTTGCCACGGAGTTCTGCCTCGCCCCAACCCACAAACAGAGCCCAGTGACCATGGACTGAAACCTCTGACACCACAAGGCAAAATACATCTTTTCTCCCTTAAGATATCTAGGTCAGGTATTTTGTCACAGTGATGAGAAACTGACTAACCCAACATCTAAAAGATGTACAACTTGCAGCAGGACAAGGGCTAGGCCCATGCCTATGTCACACTTTGCGTGCGTGTGCCTCTGTGTGTGTGTGTGTGTGTGTGCGCGCGCGCGCGCGCCCGCATGCGTGTGTGCATGTGCACAGAAGGGCTGAATTAAGAAGAGCCATGTAGGAAAGGGTGAGGACAGAAAAGCTGTGGTCCCAGCCCTTGCTGTGGGGAGTGCTCATGAGGGACTCCACGATTGCCTAGTGGAGCACTGCCCTACAGAGAAAGGCCTGGCAGGATCCAGAGGGTGTGGCTCCCAGTTGGGTTGGGCTGGAAGCCTGGTGCCAAAGCTGAGGCAGGGCAGAAGCAAGGAGGCTTGCCAGGGATGGAAGAATGGGGTTTCTGTACTGCTTATCAGGGCAGGATACAGAGGAGGCTTCCACAGCCTACCTGGCGGATGGCTGCAGTCAGCGCCCTGTCATAGCCAGGACTTTGGACAGGGAGCGCCACCTCTGATTTGCTGTTCACATTAGGCTGGCAACTCTGTGGTCATATCTAGGGTAAGTCATGGTCCTGCCAGTGCATGTGGTGGGGGCAGACACTGGCAGTAGACTACAAGCCAGCCACAAAGTGCTGCCTTCATGTCAGAGAAGGTCCACAAGACCTGGTTGGGTCCTTTGGTCTTCCTTATTGGAAAGTAACCTTGGACTCAGAGTTTTGAAAAGACCAAGAAAACATGTATTTATCCTTTATCTGGGGTGCAAGCAGAGCAAGGTTGATGGGAAAGGGCTCTGCTGCCAGAGCTATCAGAGAAGACAGAAAGAGGACTGATGAAATGTTGGTAAAAATTTGCACTTCAGGTTTGTTTCTTCCCAGAAATATATTTCAAATGCCCCCTGCTCCTGTTCAGTGTCTTCTAGGAAAGGAAACTGGTAACAGAAGCTTCTGGTAGCTATAGTTCTGCCATAGCTGCCAAAGTTGGATTTGGATTCCTAACCTGGGGCCCAAAAGGCAAGTAGCAGAGAGCCTGTTGACTGTGATCCTAAGTCCAGCTCCTTCCCAGACCTGGGAATTCCTCACCCTCCACAGCAGAGGAGGGAGCACAGGGCCTTTTGAGAAAGAAAGGACTCTTGACCCTTTTATCCCATAGGCTGGCTGGGGACTGGTGGCTAGGGGCCCAGAAAAGGAGGAAAAGCCAGGTGGCCCTGTGGGACCCACTGCCTCATTTACATGCATACTTTAAAAGCAAGGAACAAAACAGCATCACAGTTGAGTAGTTGCAACAGAAACTCCATGGCCCACAAAACCCAAAATATTTATTATCTGGCCTGAATAGAGCATCATCACTGTCCTTTAGATCATACATGAGACCCCACTAAAGAACACGGACAGAGTTGATGGACTTGTAGGAGAGGGCAGCAGGGCTGGGCTCTTGGTGGGCAGGCCCTGGGCCATTAGGGTAGGAGTGTCTTCCTGTTTGTGTCCTCTTGTTCTTTTAGGAACAACCTTGCTCAATGACCCTGCTAGTCACAAGACATTCCCCCTCTTAAGAAACTAAGAATAATTCTTCAAATGTTGTCACTTTGATGTTGAGGGGAGAAATTAAAAGCTATCAAGAAGGGACAGGATGAGAATTAACTAAATGAACTACATGTCAACTAAGTGTTTACAAGTTAAAGATTGTGATAGGGTCAGTCTTTTTTTCTAAAAGTCTCCATAAACTGGTCCCCCAGGGTGGGAACTCCCTCCCACACAGGGAATCTGGATCAGTGAGCCCCAAATGAAACATGTGATGTGTGGCATGGGGGATGGGGGTCCAAGGCAAGCACAGGGTGAGGCACAGCCCTTAAATACAGTGGGGTTAAGTTTAACACTGTGGGTTATCTTTGGTGTTCTTTGCTAGAGGGTAAAATAGGGGCAACAGCGGAGCTGACCTGATAGGCTTTCAAGGCAGCAAATGTGTCCTGAGCCAAGGAGCCTGGTGCTAGGGAGTGTGTAGTGAAGGCAAAGAGGTACAGGTCTGTAGCACTCCCTTGCCTCCATTCACAGCTGATGGGTGAATTCCTAGTGGCAGTAAGGTGGACAAACATGAGTCAATTGATGAGAAAGCCAAGTGACCATAGAGCTTCCCTTTTCTGTCTCGTCTACCCACAACGCCCTCAGGCCACATGCCAGCATCACCTACCATGTAACACCCTCTTCTCATGACCTTGGATATCTGTCCCACCAAAGTATCTCTTTGTCAGGGGACAGGCTCAAACTACCTTTCTGTTGACTCACACTGACTCCATTTCACTCCTGTCACATTTCTGCTTCCTCTGAAAGTTGACATTTGGTTGACATGTAGTCATTTTCAGCATGCAGGATAAGAGTTAAGGATTATATGAGTGTCTTGTCTTCCTTACTAGATTGTGTACTGCATGTCTACCTGTCTTATTCAGCTTCTCCCTCCCTTCGCATTCTAACCCGTCATTGGCCCGAAGCAAGTGCTCAGAGACAGGCACCAAGCAGTTGACCCAGTCACGCTGTATGGCCCCTCACTGTCCTGCAGAGGCAGGAGGCCAGAGGATCACAGTGAGCGCCACTGAGCTAAAGAAACCAGTGACTGTGTTCCGTCTGTACTGTAGTCCTAAAGACAGAGCATCACCAGGATGGCAGGAGGAGGATCAGTGTCACTCCCCACTACGACCATAGCACACCTACACATGTACTATTACAGTTTGAGTATGAAATACCTCCCACAGGCTCATGTGTTGAACATTTGGTCCCCAGCTGGTGGTGCTATTTTGGGAGGTTCTGGAAACTTTCAGAGGTGACTGGAGGAAGTGGGTAACCAAGGTCATGCCTTTGAAGGTTATTCCTGGTCCCTGGACCAGCCCCTTCCTCTGTCTCAGCTTCCTGTCCACCATAAGGTGAAGAAATTCCTTCACCACACACTCCTGCCACCATGAAGTTCTGCCCAACAGCACAGGGCCAAGCAACCATGGGCTGAATCCTCTGAAACCAGGAATCAAAATAACTCCTTCCTTCTTTGGTTATTTATGTCAGGTATTTAGTCACAGCAATGAGAAAACCTAATACCCAGTCCTGACCTTTCTCCATCCTTCCCCTGTTGCAGGTCCCCAGGTTGCTCCCTAATACTAATTGATGGCCTTGGGCCTTGGCCAGGGTCCCTATATCGGTGTGTTCATGGTTTAAGACAAGAACCTTCACGTGTGTTCTTGGTTTTTCAGGAATTTGGCCATTGGAATTGGGATCCAGAATTTCCCAGAGGGCCTGGCTGTCAGCCTACCCCTACGTGGGGCAGGCTTCTCCACCTGGCGAGCCTTCTGGTGAGTGTGTCATGTGTTGGCCTCAGAGGAGGGTCATGCAGGATGTAAAGTACTCAGCACATATTTCGTGTGAGCTCCCTTCTGCAAGAACAAGTTCATGTCAGAAGCCAATCTGGGGTTTCTGGTAGAACATGAGAAGGCAGGTAAATATTGCACTACCAAGGCTGGGGGAATCCCAAGAAACAATCTCATCTCCTGACCTTCGGCCTCTCCAAGCACCAGCCAGTGTGGTTATGGCCCAACCCAAAACGCTCCCATGGATAGCGCCCTGTGCGTTGGGTTCTCTCTCCCTTGGGTACGTCTACTCTAAGCGTCATAGGCTTCAGCTGGTGCTCATGTTTGCCACCACCACATGGCCCCAAGTCACAGTAGCTCCTCTCATACACCTGCCAGGACAGGAGCTAGGCAATGGTGTCTGAGTAATGATGACTATTGTATGTGTGCCGTGTGTTTTCACACACACCCCCTCCCCCGAGGCTTTCCCTGTACCCTTCTAACATCAACACCCAGTTTCCATGTTTCAGACAAGGGAGCTAAGGCCAAGGAGCCAGAAATCCCCTAGCTCATCAGTGGTGACTCTTAGACCAAAAGTCTGATAAGACAGACGGTTTTGTGCCCTCCACTCAGGGCTCCAGCCTCGATCTTGTCTTTTTTAAACAAATGCTACTCTACAATGTATGTTCAGAGCACTTAAAAGTCCCGCTAATAATAATTTTACAATGTCTTCCATTTTAGAGGACCTTATGCCTCACAAATTCTTGCACATTCTTAAATTCTGTTATTCCACCCTCTATGACCGGCCTCCACAGTTGGAGTCTACAAATAGAGGCCTTGAGAGGGGACAAGAATCAGGTGGCCTTAGAGATTTTCTTAGGGTGTCAAAGCCATGACTGTCATTTCAAACAGTTGAGACACCAAGAAGAAAGAGAGAGAAGGTGTGGGGCATTTATGGCCAGCACACAGACATGAAACAAGTTTTCTCTCTCTTTTCCTCTCTCCGGTCTGGAGTCAAGTCCACATTTTCCTGAGGCTGACAAAGTCAAGGCCAGGAATTGTGCACACCAAAGGGCTGCCAGTTCTGCTGGTTTGTGCATAAAAGCATGGGGAGCCAGGAAGCAGTAGCCCCCTCAGGGGATTCTGAAGCAAAAACAGGCTCTTCTCCTACACCTACTTTGTGCGTCAGGCCAGGGAAAAGCAAGGAAGAACAGGGAATTCACGGTCCCCCCAAGCTGTCCTCTCATCTGAGGAGGCTAGGTGGGACAATGCCTCTCACCCCTATTGTACAGGTGGAAGGACTGATACTAGAGGGAGTGTGTCTTGCCAAATGCCCGTTTCAAGAATCAGCCCTGTTGGCTTTGCACCTGTAGCATCTGGCTTGTGCCTGTCGGCCTCAGGTCCTGGCTTTTCTCTTGCTCTTGAAATTCTCAGTGTTTCCTGTGTGCTGCTGTTTCCATCAGAGCTCATTTTATTTCAAGCAGTGAAGACCCATGCATGCTAGCTTCTTCTTAGCAGAAGAAATCCCACCTTAATCCAAGATGGGTTCCATGTGGGTGAGGATCAGGCTTTTAGTGTGCACATAGCTAAACAGACACACCCCTGCAGCGGAGGTGCCTGCTTGGCATCCTGCCAGGAAGGTTACAGTCACAGCCTGACACCCCCAACATACCTTGGAAAATGACCATACCACTCCTAACCGCCATCCTACCCTTGATGCGGTCATCAGGTGATGAGTAGATATATAGCATACCACACAGCCACACGCTGGAATGCTAGCCATCCATACAGAGGGCACATGCGACAGGGATGCACCTTAAAAACATGCCAAGTGAAATAAGCCAGCTGAAAAGGACCTTATATGGTATGAGTCCACTTCTGTGAAATATCCACAGGCAGCAAATACACAGAAAAAGGAGGGGGGAATGACTGCTAATGTGCATGGGGTTTCTTTGTGGGATGATGAAAATATTCTAGAATTAGTGGTGATGTTTGCACAACCCTGTGAATATACTGAAAAACCACTGAATATGTACATTAAATGGGCGCGATCATAAGGTCTGTAAATTATATCTCAGTCTTGCTGTCATGAAGAAAGGCAGGGAAGGAAAGTTAAAACTCTAAGGGAAATTGGGGGTGGGGTCTACTAGAGCTGGGAAGCAGCGGGAGGTGACTGTAAAACCATGACATGCTTTGGCACTGCCTTGCTCAGATATGATGCAGAATGACACACATCTGTTTTCTAGGGTTGAATTAATAGTCCAGACATGCAGAATGTCTGTGTGACTCTCCCTGAAGTAGCCTGTGTCTTGTTCCCTCCTTAGGTACGGGCAGCTGAGCGGCATGGTAGAGCCCCTGGCTGGGCTCTTCGGTGCTTTTGCTGTGGTACTGGCTGAGCCCATCCTGCCCTATGCCCTGGCCTTTGCTGCTGGCGCCATGGTCTACGTGGTCATGGATGACATCATCCCAGAAGCCCAGATCAGGTGAAGAACTTGCCCTGCCTGTCTGCCCCACCCCAGGCCCAGCCCAAAACGTTCCCTCCACATCTGCCCTTTCTTCATTCGCCTCTCTTTTGCTGTTCCCAAGATAGTCCTGCCCCTTCCCAAGGTCATTCCCACCCCCTCCTCACCTGTGCTCTCTGAAACTGAAAGAAACATAGGAAAGGGCAGATGGGGAAGACACAAGGGGATATCGTGCAGCCATGTAAGTGGGGGCCCTGACCTCTTGATGAACTAGACAGCCATTTATGTATATTCACTCTCTCTCTCCTCTCTCTCTCTCTCTCTCTCGCTCTCTCTCTTGGCTGAAGTGAGAAGAGAGGTGGCTGTAAGACATTAGCCACAGTGATCTCATTATCTAGCTATGAGCCAGGTGTCAGGGCATTGGTGGATGAGAGGGAGCCTCGATTTGTTTCATTCTGGTTTTTATAGAAGAATATTTCTTTGGTGATACTGGGGTTTAAACCCAGGATCTTGTACTGAACGGAACAATGTCTCTCACCCCCATTTTACAGATGGATAGACTGATGGTACAGGCAGTGTGTCTTGCCAAATGCTCATTTCAAGAATGAGTCCCAACTCCTTGCCTATTGGCTTCGCACCTGTAGCAGGTGGCATGTGCCCGTGGGCCTCGGGTCCTAGCTTCTCTCTTGCTCTGGAAATTCTCAAGTGTTCTTGTGTGCTGCTGTTTCCATCAGAACTCATTTGATCAGAACGTATCCTGAGCACATAGGGTTTCGAGCTTTTAACCCAGGCTGGGCTGAATGAAGATCCTCCTACTTACGCCTCGTGCATAGCTGGATTACAGGCCTGTGCCAGAAGAATACTTTTGAAGCTAGTCTACTAGGTCAGATTAAATAATATCTTTAAGAAATTTAGCTACTCAGGAAGCAGAGATCAGGAGAATTGAGGTTTGAAGCCAGCCCAGACAAGTAGAGCACTTGCCTTACAAGTGTAAGGCCCTGAGTTCAAACCCCAGTGCCACCAAAAAGAAAAAAAGAAGAAATAATTGCTGCTCTTTGTTGTTTCAACATGGACTCCAGAGACATGGACAACTTACTTCTTTCTCTATGCTTCTTTTCCCCCTCCTCTCCCTAGGAAAATGGGGTGATAAAGATACTGACCCTGCGAGGTTGTTGTTTGGGATTACATGAGTCAGTACATTGCCTGAAGACAGCAGGCCCTCATAAATGTCACCATCATTCATAGCAGAATACTTGCTGTTTGACCTGGATGCTGCAGACAGGGCCTTCAGCTGAGAATGGCCTCAGGAGGCCTTCAGTCTTAACTGCTTTTCCTCTCCTTCCTTCCTAGCGGTAATGGAAAGCTGGCATCCTGGGCCTCCATCCTGGGATTCGTGGTGATGATGTCACTGGACGTGGGCCTGGGCTAGCCCTAAGTTGCTTCAGACCCCAGGACAGAAAGCACCAGGCTTCAACAGGACCACGAGGCTCTCTCTTCACATTAAAACCTTGTTCTTTCCCTTCTTTCATCTCCTTATCAAGATCAGCTCTGATTACCCTGTGACCATTTTTTCCTTTGCTTTGAGAGAGATACTGGTTTTCTTTGGAATCTCAAGTTGTCATGGAACTACAGATTTTTGTTTTGATCACCGAATGAAATCTTTCCTTGGTAGGATGGCTGAGAGCGTACAGATTAAGGAAACACCTTCTTTCTTACCTTCCATCTCCCTCACTAGACTTAGCAGTGACTCCTCAAGGTCACCCCAGAAGCCAGCTCCCAGGAGACACACCCGGAGCATTTTGGCCTAGAATCTTGGAGCAGGTGGCCAGTACATCTCCTGCTCCCATCTCTAGATGGGACCAGAGCATCATAAGCGTGCAACCTGCTTTCCAAGACTGAGCCAGCCCAAAGAGAAGTACACCTTCCTCTGCCTCCCCCACAGAGGGGACACACACAGGGAGAAAGAGGTCAGCTAGTCCATTGTTTTTTTTTTTTTTAAGGCCAAGATTGACACTATTGAAGTTAGGGGAATTCGGGAATTAGGACACAGTGAGCCCTGTGAAATAGGGACAGAGTGTGCTTTAACCAGCAACCTCTGCTACCCATGGATCCCAAGAGCAGAGTGGTTCATTATGGTTCCCAAATACCCCAGGCAGTAATCTTGATGAGATTATTTTGTTTTTCTGAGAGACTTGGGGATACCAGCAAATTGCTACAGCTCACACCCTTCATTTACTACTGGTGGGATGCACTAAGTTAGCTCAAGTGAGTGACAGACATTTGGGATCCATAGCAGGTTCTTCCCTGCTAACTAATAACTTAGAACCTGACCAGGAACCTGGAGTTGCAGCAGACCTTGTTGGAGTCTGGCCACTGGGCTGTAGGATGGGAAAGGGGAAAGGACAGAAAGAGAAGAGAGATTTTTACATTTCCTTTTTAAAGTATAGTTTAGCCAAACTAACATTCTAAAATGACCATCACGAATGACTCCACCTAGGTTAGAAACCAACCTACTTTATCATTCACAGAGCTTCTCAACTAGGGGGTGGTAGGTCATGTCTGCTTCCAACAAAGCTGAGGCCTGTGTCCTTGGTTAGAGGAGTGTATGGGACTTGGGGTGGGCTCTGCCAAGAAGGCAGGAAGCCTGCCCCAGAGCCAGACATTCTGGCATTGTGGCACCAATGCCTGAGCTCTTGAGTTTACATGTACGATTGCTTCCAAGGCTGAATCTTCTGCTCTGCAATTGCTGTTAAGACTCCAGTGGCCACCTGGGCTGTGTCTGTGTCTGTTCTTCCTAAGCACTGATGATCAAAACTGAAGACATTCAAAGGATGTTTGATTGGTTGAGATGAGCTGGTCCAGTGGTTGGTGGATGTGTGTGTTTTGTTTTTATGTCTCTGTACTTAGTTCTTCATGATGCAAATTGTTCTTTCTGCTGGATAAGACCTCGTAACTGTGATTAATATCAATAAAGGGAGTACTGTCATGGAAGATCTGTGTTACGTGAGTCCTTCTCAAAGCTCCTGCTTTCCAGGGATGGCAGTATGCAGGGAATCTAACATGTCACATCTCCCCTACCCAACTCCCAACACGAAAGAAGCAAAGGAGAAACTGTGCTGCCCAGGCTGGCCATGAACTTAGATCTTCCTGCCTCTACCTCCTGGGTGCTGGGCTTACAGGCTTGCACCACCACAAAGATGGTTGCTTTTGCCCATATATCAGCTGAGAAAGCAATGACATACCCCGGGGAAAGAAACTGTCGCCACAAAAACTGTCGCCACAGAGTTGATGGTCTTGTTCACTTAATCACAAAGTGCCTCCTTCCTCCACAGTAGGAAATTTGGAATTTTTAGTTGAGGAACAGTTGTTTCTAAATTTGAACGGGACGAGTGACTGAGGCCCTGAGTTCAAACCCCTAGTACTAAAAAAAAAAAAAGCAAAAAAACACATGTATGTAAATGCAAAAATGATACCTGCTGAAACTATTCCAGGAATGGGGAGAGGAGGGCATAAAGGAGAGTGATGGAAGGGGTGAATTTGAGATATTTGATACATTGTGAGAACTTTCGTGAATGCTACAGTGTACCCCCACCCAGCACAATAAAAAAATGTTTCTAATTTTGGGGCATTCTGGGAGGTGAAGCCATGTGTTTGTCTCCTAACCTCTCTGTCACTAAACCTCCACTCTTTCTTCTTTCAAGTCCTTCACCTTTTGAAAAGACCATTTATCACTGGTCATAAATTGGCATAGCTTCTCAAATTGCACCTTCTTTCCTTTAGGCAAAGGGGTTGCCCCACTGGGAGGTTTACTCTTCACCGACTCTCCTCATTGGGACGGTAACTCCACAGCCTATCCCCCTGGGCCACTCCTGGTCACCTGTTCTGGGGCGCGTCCCCCTGGGTTGCTGGGGTCAGGAGCAGGTACATGGGGAATGAGCTACACATGCGACTTTACCCAGCCTGGCTCAGTCCCACTTCAACCCCCGCTAACTGGTCTTGGGGTTTTTTGAGTGGGTTAGATGACCAGTATGTGGCAGGAAGCTTGCTCAGAAGCCACCCTCAGTTTTTCACACCAGCACAGTAACCCCAGAATCCGCACCAAGTGTTCACATCAGCAGCATTGTTATCAAGCACCCTAAGCATTCATCCCATATATAGTTCCCCCAATTTTGGAATAAAGATTAGAAAAATCCTGAAATTATGTTGCTTTTAATCCTTTCCCTCCCTGATTTAGGTTTGCCACTGTTCCTCTGCTATGGTTTTAATGTGTCCTCCAACGGTGCATGTGCTGCATGCTTGGTCTCCAGGCAAAGAGGAGGGACCTAGTGGGATGTCTTAGGTCATAGGCGCATCACCCTTGGAAGGATTGAGGTTGTTCTCATCAGTCCCTGGTCAGTTTTCAAGAGAGAGGGTTGCAATAAAATAGCGAACCTGGCCCTTCCTTCTCTCTGCCTTCTGTCTCACCATGTGATCTCTCTTTTGCATGTGCCCCACTATGATGCCATCTGCCATTAGGCCCTGATCAGAGGCCAAGCTGATGGAGCTGTTCCATCTTGGACTTTCAGCCTTCAAAACTATGGGCTAAGTGAACCTCTTTTCTTTATACAGTTTCTAGCCTCAGGCACTTTGTTATAGCAATGGTATACTGACTGAAACACCCACCCTCTTCTGAAGTTTGCTGGTATATAACTCAATCAGTCCTGGGGACAAGAGAGGGTAGTGGCATGGGGAGCTGGCATTCTCTTTCAGGGAGACTCCTGCTAAATAGGAGAAGGAATTGTAGTGTCTTCATGAAGGGCTTCAGAAGACAGGAGAAGAGGGGACACAGGAGGCTATTTGAGGATTGATGATTCAGAGAACTCAAGCTTGTCAAATTCTCCCATACAACTCCCTTCTGGTCCTCTGAGTCCTCTTGAAAAGGCTGTAGAGACTCAGCCAGTCTTCAGGGTCCAGTTTTTACCTTCAGTTTTCTATGTTTGCAATCTTAATGGAGGTAAGAGGACACTGAAGACAGTCAAAGAAAGCCCCTTGGGTCCACCACTTTGGGACTCGAGCTTGCCAGTGTCTAAGTTGCTTGGCATTTTTTTACAGAACTGCCTCTCAGGCCTCATGTCTCTGATTATTTGATGACAGAAACAACCTGCTCCCTCCACGTGATGCTGTTAATGGACCCTCATTCCAGGTGACTGGCATGACAAGTGTATGGGGGGATATTCTCTGAATCCCTGCTGTGAGAAGAAAGGATGAAGGCGTCATTGTCTAACTGTAGTCTTGGGGCCAAGCTGGAAGCTCTGCCTCTCACCTCCTCCTCTAATCCTACTGAGTTCCTTCCCGTCATCCCCACTTACGCAGGAGGAAGTTGAGGTTCAGGAAGTCTCCCTGGTGGAGGTGGTGCCAGGCAGTGCAGGTGGGTTTTCACCGCACAGTGGCAGCAGGATGCAGAAACTGCTTGTTGGTTGAATCTGAAACCAGGCAGAAAACGGGAGCCACGGGGCTATTCTTTTCCCTTTCCTTTTACATGGGGTGTGACATGCACAGCAAAGACACAAAGGTGGTGTGTTCTACACAGCTCCATGGATTTGACCTGCATACCTCTGTGCCCACCCAGCCTGAGGGTCTTCCTTAGCCATAGGTGTCTTGTCCCCAATGTCTGGTGTCTCCCCCTTCCCTCCTTCACTAATGTCCTGGGTGAACCCAGCCTGACCCCAGGTGTGATCCAGCTGTGCACACCACCACCACCACCGCCCAACTGAGGCTGACTGCCTACAGCACACGTTCCCTGTGGTGGCATCCAGTGTCCTGGGGTGTGGGGCCCCGGGTAGCTGATGACTTTTGCTGGGCCCAGCTTTGCCCACAAAGAGCAACACCCTGAGAGGAGGCAACGAGGCTGGCCCTATGTCTTAGAAGCCTCCAGGCTGCCTGCAAAGGGACACCACGCACTATCCGTGTCACCTGCCTGACTGCAGGGAGGGTGGTCAGATGCAGGACTCCTGGCTTCCCAGGACCCCTCACTGTCATTGAGCTGTTACTCGCAGCTTGTCCCTTCCAAGGGTATATCTGTGAAGCCCAGAGTGTATACAATTTGGGGAGCTTGAGAAAAATAACACAGAAGTACCAAACAACATTAGGTACGGTGCTTTGCAAGGGGCGTCTGTGAGTGAGCACCCCTGAAGCTCTGACGTCATTGGCTTTCAGGTACCCTGACTTCTGGCACAGGGCAAGGAGGCCTGAGGTGCTGAATCCCACTCAGCGAATTCACTTCTCTGCCATCTTCCCATACTGTCCAGGCCAGCAACTGCGAGAAGGGGTGGTGGCACGCTCTGAGACAGAGGAACACACGAGATCATGCAGCTCTCTCCTGCAGGAGAAGAATGAAACACGTCTCCCTCCTGGTGGGATGGAGATTGCAGGAGGCCAGGCCTGGGCTGCCAGTGAGGGCCCTGGGAAATGGCGACCCTGAACCTGTCTGTCTCTGGCCCTCTGCCCTTCTGATCTATTCCCAGCGACCAGTGCCTGGGCTCTGCCAGCAGCTTGAAAGTGAAGAGATTCTGTTTGTCCCCAGGGACTGCATAGAGACCTCAGGACCCTCGAGGATGCCCAGGGTACTAAGGCTACCGTCCCTCCGACATGAAAGACATGAGGTATTAGAGGTGTGCCCCTTTCTCTGCCCTTGAGGTGAGGGGTTGGTGTGCAGCCTGTTCTGGTCCCCAGCATGCCCTGGCAGGTGTCCTATAGAAAAGAACAAAGAACTGATACAAGATTAGTACATACATAATTTTAAGCTTTTCTAAAGCTTTTCTTCAGTAGGAACCTGCCTCTTTTTGCTTTTTTCAGTGAAAATACTTACTGAACTGAATATGGGAAATATAAAATTTTTCATTCCCTAACAAGCCTGTTACAATTTTTAAAAAAGAGACTGCTCTTACATAAATGATTTATGGATTTAGTGATGTTTTTCCTGTGGACATGGGTTATATTTGGTAAACTGGTGAGAAATGGTCATTGCATCCCCTCCCCTCTCCTCTCCTCCCCTCCCCTCCCCTCCCTTCTCTTCCATCATACTAGGGTTTTAAACTCAGAGCTTTGCACTTGCCAGGTGGATCTCTACCACACTGCCAGCCCTTTTGGCTTTAGGTATTTTTCAAATAATAGAGTCTTACATTTATGCTTCTGGCAGCCTGGAATGCAATTCTTCTATTTACACTTTCAAGTTAACTGGAATGATGGATACACCCCACCAAGCCCAACTTTGATTGGTTGAGATGGGGGTCTGATGAACTTGTTGCTCAACCTGACCTGGAACTATGATCCTCCTTATTTCCACCTCCAGAGTAGCTGGGATTATGGTGTAAACCACCTTACTAGGCCTCTGTATTTGTTTTCTATTGCTATATGACACACTACCACAAACTTGTAGATTGAAATGACATGCATCAGTGTTGCCCTTTCTCTGGGTCAGAAGAAACTGGGTGCTCCACTCAGAGTCTCACGGGCTGCCATTGCCATGTCAGCTGACTGTGCTCCTCGGGAGCCTGAAGGAGGTGTCTGCGTGCCAGCTCACTCACGTTGTTGGCGGTATTCCATTCCTTACACCTGTAGGACTTGGGACCACTTCTGACACAAGGCTTCCCCAGGCCCTAGAGGCCACTCAAAGTTCCTGGCCACATGGGCACTTACAACATGACTGTTTATGACATCAAACCAGCAGGGAGTCTCTTGAGTGTGTCAGCTAGCAAAAGAGACTCTTACCAAATGTGACAGGATAGGGAGTGACATTCCATTACCTCTGCCATCAGCTATTGGCCCAAAAGCCAGATCACGCAGTTGATGTCGAATCTTCGTGTTCATCTCTTCACCCGTCAGGACAAGCATGACATCACAAACTACACGTGGTTAGGGTGTGATTTTATTCTGTCTCTTTGGAGGTAAAATGAGAGATGATGGGGTGGATGAACAGGGAAGAGCCTGCAATCCCACATGGCAGATGGGCTGTACTGCTTGAGCCCTGAGGAATCCTGGTCTTTTCTGCCCTCCTCTCTGAGAAGTTTCCAGAGGCTGATCCCCCAGAACTGTGGGTCAGGGCTGAGGCCAACTCTTGGCTTCTTTGCTTGACCCAGTGA